GATTTCATTTACTCACTTTCACTAATCTCATCTCAATAAATCTGCCCTGCTTATTGCTGTCAATGAACACTGTCTCTATCGATTTTCCTATTTAGAAAAAAAGTTCACCTTGCTGCTAGTGTTCATTTAACATCACATATAAGAATGCTACATTTTCTAGAATTTGACATTTTCAGTGATTGAGAATTATTATATTTTGTAAATGGAATTATCACTACTAAAACCAGAATGTTACAAATAGAATGATGTCATTTGTTTCCAAAGACTATATACTAGAGCGATGCGAAAATAGTAAAAACAACATGTTTTGTGGCAGACTTTGGGGAGGGTAAAGTTAGGACTAATCTGCAAGTTTTGTTGGGATAAATGCTACAGTTGCAAGCACTGCTAGCAAGTATACTTGGGGCAAACGAGAAATGGGCTGTTCTTCACTGTTATCTCACAAATGTCATTTCCACTTTAGTAAAGGCCTACTAGGCAGGCACCTTCACTTCTTGCTTTTCCTTCACCTTTTAAGATCAGCATTTCAAAATGATGTTTACCCTCTTTAAACCGTTTCAGCTTGAATTCCTTTTGCTATTAAAGGCACATTCTCTCATCCCTCAGACCTTAAACAATAAGTGCCTACATCTTTACCATCTATATTCACACAATTTCCAAGTTCCATAGATTCTATCCAGTGTTTACTGCATCTTTACTTGGTCTTTGTGCCTCATCTTTGAATCTGCCCTGCTTATTGCTGTCAAATCTGACATTCTTGATGCATAACTCTAAATCATGTATCTCAACCATATAACCTTCAGAAGTTTTCATTGATAATAGTGATACTTATAGCCAGACATTAATTGGTTTTTCACAGGGTTGCTTTAGCATGCCTTTGTACTGTTTCTTGTTTCTCCTTTATGCAATCTATAATTTAGTCAAACTATTTTTTATGGTTTTCTAGATACTTTGTTCTTTTGCTTATACCGTTTATTGATAAAATGTTCTTACTTCCACCTACTGCTTTTGTTGAAAGTATATCCAGTTGTCAAAATTCAGCCCAACGTGCCTTGTCAAACAAGCTTCCCCCTTCCCTTTTTTTAGTGGGAAAATAATCTCTTTTCTTTTCCTACATTATATAATGTTCTAGACTCTAGTTTTCATATGGTTTTATATTTATTTCTTGTGCATATTTCTCTTATTTAATGCTCTTTGGAGATAGAGACCATGTTTTATATATTATTGTATCCAACACAGTGCTTTTTGTATTGAATAGGCATAAACTACTGAATGAATCCATAAGTCAAGTTACCAGTATTTGGCTTAAACCCAGAGGTACTTTATTCATTCAAACAAGTTATGATAGCATCTGTCAAGTGTCACTAAAATACATTAATTTCATTAGCAATTTGAAAGTGTTTAGGAACTCTAGACCATCAGTGTTTACTTTTTATGTTATAGCTAGCCTTCTATTTTTTTTGCATTTGACTTTGAAATACCACAAATATCCATGTGATCCAATTGCAGTTACTTTGAAGAATCTTGGGACTTCTTTTTAAATTGTGGAAAATACGTATAATGTGAAATTTACCATCTTAACCATTTTTAAGTGTATACTTCTGTAGTGTTCAGTACATTCATGCTGTGCAGTCAATCTCCAGAACTTTTGGTATTTGTTAAGTGAGTTAGTTACTCTAGCTTAATTTTATGCTGGGTATGACAGTTCTCAATAATTGTATTGTCCCAGATTCTACACAAATTCCATGAGCAAACTTGTAAAATAAGCAAGAGGGATTTGGTCTATCATAATTTTCTTGTTCTTGCCTGTGTATGTGAGTGTGTGTGCACGCTTCTCTCTATTGTCACTGTGTTAACAAGTGTCTTTCATGGATAGAGATGCACTGCTGAGCTGATATAATATGATGCTGTTCTTTGCATGGAATTTCCTGAAATGTAATAAGCTCACAAGACTATTTAAGGGATTGAGACATAATTTTTCCCTTTCTTTAAAGATTATCTGTACTTTGGCACATAATGCAGTCAGGATGGTTTCAGATTATAGAGGGAATAGTTTGTCTTTCTATTCTCCTGATTTTGCTGTGTTGTTTTAATTGTGTGTTATGTGCTGAAGCTGAGTCCGTTGCTTGGTTGTTTCTTCTCTCTTCTGCTCAGCTCTCATTGCTCTTTTTTTCTTTTTTCTATTTCTCCTCTTCCATTATAAGCTCATTTTTCTGTCCAGGTGCCATGAAGGGCTTGATTAGCCATTGCCTGCCAGTTAGAGCATTGCCTGTCTTTGGCTCTTTATTGAGCTTTTCAGTATTCCCTGGTTTGTGTCTATTTCATTTGAGGGTGTAGGATTTCTCAATAACACGTAAGTGAGCTATAACTGAACTTAAATTTAAATAACTATTTCGAGTAATTAATCAGGTAAATGAACATATTTAAAAGACTTTTGTGTTTTATTGTGACTGAAAATTAGGGGCATATTTTTACATGAAAGTCTTCCTGTTGAAGTCATAATTTCCCAATAGCTAAATCCAATGTTCGTGAGTATGTGTGTAGACACACATACACACACACATTTTGGCGAGGGGCTTGTATTATTTAGAATCTTTTCCTCCCTGATATTTTTTTCTTTCTTTCTTTTTTGGAGGAGGCGAGGTGGTAATGCTGTGCTTTTATTGCTTCCCTGCCTCTTTAGCCATTTGTTCTGTCTCATTTTCTGGATTATCTTTCTCTGACACCTCTTAAATGTTCCATTCTTCCATAGCTGATCTTCTTAAACTTTTTCCTCCTCTTAAATGATCTCATTTACTATATTTTTTTCCTGTATCTGAAATATTTATTGAAAATTTGGGTTGGAATTTGAAACAATACTCTGAGGGCTTTTGTTGAGGCTAGGCATTTGATATAGATTCTCTGGAGATGACAGTGCTGGAATTTGAGCTCTTTCTGGACTTTTGTTCTTGATCAAGAATTGAAGGTATGATTTGCTCAGAGAGATTGCTCAGAGTGATTTGACCTTGTGACCCAGAGTTGACTAAGAAAGTCCTAGTCTATGGTTTATCTTATGCCAAGATTTCTCTTTAGAAATATGAGCAGTAGTAGTGGCTGGAGGTTATGACTTGGTCAGGCTTGTTATCCTTTCTTGTGTTCTTCCTTTTTTAAATGTTTGATCAGATCAACAAATTGTTGGCAAACAGACTTACCCAGTGCTTAAAAATACTTAGAGTAACTGATGCATGACTACAGTATGTTTGGCAAATATCAAAATGTACGGTAAATGCCTAATAGTGTATACTGTGCATGTTAATTCTCCAATAGTGAAGACTATATACATACCTAAAAAGGAAAGAATAATCCCTGTAATAAATTTCCTTTCTTCCAAGATCTTTCTGTTTCCCCTTCATTTGTACCCATTTGAAAGAAGGGGTTAACATTTCTTCTTACCAAAAGGAAGTTTACTATTATTTTTAAAAACTACCATTTCTAGATTAATGACTCCCAAATCTGCTTTTCCAGCCCTGATCTTATACAAATGGATTCTTGGCCATCTCAGTGTCTCATAGACATGTCTAACTCTTCCTTGCATAATTTCCTTTTTCTTTTGATAGCATCATTGTCTACTTAGTCATTAAAATCAGAATTTTGTATGTCATTAATTTACTCTTTCCTCATCCCCACATCCCATTGCTCACCAAATCTTTTCACTTTCATCTCCTAAATTCCTGCCTCTCTTTTCCACTGCTCCTGCCTCATTTCAGGCCTTCGTCTCTTGCCTAATTCCCACTCTTCCTTCAGGTCTCAACTTAAATATCACTTCTTCAGTGATATTTTGACACTCGTAGGTACAAAATAAGCATTTGTCGAATGACTTAGTAATATACTTAGAAAAACCGACAGTTTGCCCACCTCCAAGGAGGCTTGCACCCTTAAGTCTATCTTTCACTTTGCTGTCAAAGTAATTTTTCTAAAATGCAGATCAGACAATTTTATTCCCTCTTGCCTTTGGAGAAGTTCACCTTCCTAAATGACACTCAGGCCCTGTTCTGCCAAATACACAAGGCTTATCTCTTACCATATCCACCGCTCTCTGTTTGCTGGTTTCTAGTATATATAAATCCTGTTTTTACTTACATGCCTTTGCATATGCTATTCACCTTGCTTTGCTACTAATTCTTCAGAACACAGGCCAGGTTTTACTTCCCCTGAAAAGCTTTCTCTCTTGTTGCCATTTCCTCCTTTCCTCAACAAGTAATACTTTCCTCTTCCACACTTTCTGTAAAAAGACATCATTTGTCTTTTTATTTATTTATTTTTTTTTGAGTGAGAGATATGGGAGTATAAGTAGAATAGAATAAAAATATATCCTTCAGTCTTTTTTCTGATTTTGAAATAATTCCTTTTAAATAACCTTAAGTGACTAAAATGTATAATCTGATACAAACATAGATGTTCAAAGACCACAAATATCAATATGAATTATTAGTAGAAGAGAGGTAAATGTTAAGTTATAACTGATTATATGATTATATATGCCTTGCATTTCAGATTTTGTTAGTGGAGCACTAAATAAACTTAAATACAGCAGAACACCCTCTATTACACCTCAACAGGAAAAAAATGGTAAGTATTATTTGTATTTATTTAAATGAAAATTTCTGACTTATTTTGATTTAATCAAATCTAATATTATTTTCAATGGAGATTTTGTACTGTGTTGTGACATTGCTAATACTTTGGATAATGAACCCAAAATTGTAGGTAAGAATTTCTTTTAGATTTAATTTCTTTACTCTTCTAAATCATGCTTTTCTGTTGCTTATAAGTTGGATGCTATTGAATATATGAAAGTAATTCAATCACATTTTTGTTTTAGAACCAGAAGTTTATTAATGTATATTCCAATTTTTTATCTTGGTTTTCTCATGGCTGAAATTATTCAGTCTAGTAACAAATGTAATCATTTGTTTTGTTTTCCAGATTGAATAAATTAACTGGTTAATACTCAATTATAATGAAAAGCAAAAATAACATTTAGATTAGTTTTTGTTTCAACTCCTTGATTATGATTTTCTCCCTTATGTTAATATTCTTTAATGTGAATTATATGCATGTTAATCTATTTGGTTTAAGTTATTACTATTAAGAATCTCGCCTCTTTGCAATTTGCCTATTTTTACTTTATGGAATTGCATAGTGTTAATTTAGTTATATAATATTTGATAATCTAATCCTATCCCCTCGTTCTTTTATAGCTCTAAGTAATATCTTTATAAGAATAAATTAATAAAGCTTTTGTATTTATCAACTGTTTTTTTTTTTTTTCCAGCCCAGCTATCCGAATCACCAGTGATTCTTACACCAAATGCTAAGCGTAAACTGCCAGTAGATTCTTCTCAGGGTTTCTCAAGTAAGAAAAGGAAGTCCATCAAGCACAATTTTAACTTTGAGTTATTGCCAAGTAATCTCTTCAGCAGCAGTTCTACACCAGTATCAGGTAGCAAATATAATGTATATAATTGGTCTGTAAACATTAACACGAGTGCCTGTTCTGGGCAAAGGGCTGTTTCCAATTAATACTACCCTTTAGGAGCCAGAGCTTTAGTCTATCTTTTATCAAGTCTGAATTTTTATGAAGTTCTCTAATTTTTAAAATGGACACTGCTAAATATAATTAGTGTGTATGTGATTTATGGCTATGCCCATTGAAAGTTTTGATAAATAACTTGGTGTGAGAGTTTGGGCTTCTGTGGATAGCACTGGTGTTTAGGTTTTGTGTGACTGGACATCCTGAATTCTGCTTTAGTTCTGGATCTATAGCTGTGCTTTCTTCTGTTGAGTTGAGGTTGCCAGAAGTTTGATTATCTCTGAATCCAGAGTGAGGTTGTTACTATTGGAGTAATTCTTGTGGGTTGCATTTTTGGGGGTGGGGGATATTTTTAATGTTTTATCCTCAATTAGCTTTTATAAATGCTTTAAAAACTTCGTTTGCATTGTTTCTTGTAGTATGATTTCCAGATCCCTTACTGGCCCAGCCATTTTCTTTCAAATGAACTACAAGTTCCTAATTGTGGCCAACCAGAGCCTCCAGAGGATAATATAATCATGTCACTTTGAATACCACATTTTTGTTAGTGTGGTTTTAGGCCGAGTTGGCTTCTTTAGCATGTGTAGAATACAAGTTGGCTCATGTTAACCTTATGGTCAACCCAAAATGAAATGAAACCCTAATTAACCCCAGTGTCATCTACCTCATATTTGTCTCATTTTTACTCAAAATGTGAGTCATCTCTGATTCTTCTAGATTTTTATTGGTTTCAGACAATATTAAGAGTTCCATTTTGAATTCATTAGCTGGGTTATGAGATCTTCTCAAAAGCTTCTTTTGTTATTATCCAAAAGGATTATATTTTCTTTGTTCGTTTCATTAAAAAATCGAACAGAATAGCAACTTGTTCTCTGCGGTCCTTTACAGGTTCTCTATCATTCATTAAAGTGTCAATGATAAGAACTCTGAGGCTCTGTCTATAGCTTTTTTAGTATTCAGAGTTTGGAGACTTAAACTCCTTTAAAGTAACTTCATGTTTTTTTTTAATATTTAAAGGCTTTTCCACTTTGAAGGACTTTTTCCAAATGGCACATATAAATTGTAGTTCTTCCTGCCTTTGCTTATTAGCATTATAGCATCTTCCCCAAGAAATGGACCTGCTGATTCCTCCTCTCCAAGCTCCCCACAGATAGGCTAAACATTCTTGTGTTGTTGTAACATTCGTATGTGCCAGCTTAATCGCTGAAGTTTTTTAAATAAAAAGATTAACAAGTTCAACAACAGTTAATTCTATTATTTTAACTCACCATTTTTCTTTGATCCTACTTTCTCAGGCACAGTTCAGTAAATTTCACCTGCAAAATGCTTTTTTTAATGTATAAAGGCAACAATATTAATTTAAAATAGAATACCTATTTATAATTTATATATGTGTAATAACTGCATTCCATGTATTCTAGCTCTGCCTCCTTGTGATCACTGGCACATTTTCAAGATTACTAGACTATAGTCCTAGAATAAAACTACCTATGTCTCATTGGATATATTATATTTGCCTCCAAAGTTTTCTTTAGCCAAATGCACCCTAAAGTCACTGTAATGGTTGTATTATTTTCTGTTTTAATAAGTAAAAAAACATAGATGTCTCTGGGTACCTGTGTGAATTCTTTATCAGTACCAGTAATGAGTTGAGAGTGTTCATGTTTTCAGAATCTTGGCATGATCCAAGTATAAGTCAAATGTATATAGAGCTTTTCTTCATGATACAGTGTTAAATAACTTAATCAAAATGAGCTGTTGTAACCACCAGTTGTTAGCATGGAACATGGCAGCAGCCAAGTGGTTAGACATGTGTTATAGATGATTTGTTTGCCAAAAATGTCGGACAAATTATAATCCAGAGTCAGGTGGACAACAGTTGACTAGCATGTGCATACTGGAAACTCAGACTCTAAATTGTTTCTCAATAGTTTATTTTTGATAATAGCATTAATTAATATTATGTATCAGATACTCTGCTGGATATTTTATACACATTACAAAAATATTTATATTCAACCACAGAAGTCCAATTTCAGAGCTTAAAGCAATTTAGTATGTGGTGAGACAAACTCAAATCTATCTGTCCTGGAAGCTTTCCCTTTCTTCCATCTGCCACAGTGCCTACCCCTCCTTTGTATTACTAAACAAATTTAAAGCAAAACTCCAATGTGAAAGCAATGGTTAATTTAACCTTTAATTGGCTCCTATAAAGTAGAAAATTGATACTTATTTTCTCTTGAGTTGGGTTATTTGGCCCCTGAAACTTTTAACTAGAAATTATGTGATTCTGTTATGGTTTAGGAGTAGAAATTAAGACTTTAAGTCTAATTGCTATTAATAGTTTATATTTTGAAAAAGAATAAGTATGTGTGGTATATTACATGTGGTTATTTTTATAGTTCACATTGATACAAGCCCAGATGGGTCATCTCAGAGATCACTCTCTCCTGTAGCCATCAGTGGAAATCATTTGATCAGTACAGATATGCCAAGGCGAAGTAAAAGAATTGCAAGCAAAAAAGTTTGCAGGTAATTTATCCAGGACATTTTGTTATTATTGGGCATTTGGTATATATAGTTAATAAAATATTTTGTCTTTATATCAGGAATCATAATTTTTAAAAACTCCCTCTGCCTTTATAATCTTATTAATCAAGTACCCCTTATATATCTTCCAGAGGAAAATTCCCAATTTGAGTCCAGTTTGCTTGCTTAAAATCCTGCTTCATGTTGATGAGTGTAATTTTTGAATTTCTGATTAACTTTAAAAGCTAGTCTACCCTAATGATTCCAGTTTGTAAGTGACTAAATAACTTGTGATGGACAAGAGAGATCATTTTATATGCCAATACAGTGTGTTCACAGATGGTATCATAAAGCTTAACTAAAAATTATTCTGTTCAGTTACTAGCAATATGATTTGCCTTGGACATTCTTTCAAATTTCATTTTTCAAGAATTTCTCGAGGTTTACGCTACAAACCAACATTTGTAATTCTGCTCTTTTAAGGGTGGAATCAGGAAAAGCAGGCTGCTTTTCTCCTAAAATCAGTCGTAAAGAAAAGGTTCGAAGATCTCTTCGTTTGAAATTTAGTCTGGGGAAAAGTAGCAAAGATGTAGTAAGTATCTTTCACCATTTTATTGATGTTGATATTAGCATAAAGCTAGACGATGCTAAAGGACCCTCTCAACCCTGCCTCCCCTCCAGCTACTGTCCCATTCTCTTTATGCAAAACTCTTACGCTTAAATACCTCCAGTTTCCCCTTTTCTACTCTGCTTAAATTGATTCCATTGAGGCCTTCATACCCAGTACTCACTGCAGCTGCTCTCTTCAAGGTCACCCATGACTAAATTCATTGTTCAAGCCAACGGACAAATATCAGTCCTTGTTTGACTTGACTTCCTAACAGCAGTTGACACGGCTGATCACTTGCTCCTCGTTGGTATACTTTCTTTGCTTCAAGGACACTGTACTCATGATTTTCTTCCTTTGCTGGCTACCCTTCCAATTTCTTTGTATTGGAATGCCCAAAGCTTCACCCTTGGACTTCTCTTTTCTCTCTCTACTCACTCAAGGTGATCATCAGCTTTAAACATCATATATTTACTTGAGACTTCCAAATTTATATCTCCAGCCTAGAATGTGTTCCTGAACAACTAGCCATTTCTTAACATCTGCCTACTTACCTCCCTGTGTGGATGTTGATCCAACAGATGTCTCGAGTGTAACCTGTCCCAAATAGAGTTCCAAGATGCATTTTTTCACCGCCACTATTTCTCTGCTCCTCCCCCTCTCCCTCAACCACACTTCTACCTGTGGTCTTCACCATCTCTATGTGGCATCTCATTCTTCCAATCACTTAAGCCAAAAGCCATGTAGACATTCTTGACTCTTCACTTTCTCTCACATGCCCTGCCTAAACCATTAGGAAATCTTGTCTAACTTCTGCTTTCAGAGCATATACAGACTAACCACTTCTTACCAGTACTACATTCCTAACCTTCTCTAAGTCCTGTCACCTTAAACATGGATTACTGTAATAAACTTCTACTAGTAGGTCTTCCTGCTTCTACCTTGCTTTAGAACTATATCCAAAATTATCCTTTTAAACCTCAAGCTAAGTTATGTCACCTTTTTGCTCAGAACCCTCCAGGGACTCCTCATTTCACACAGAAATAAAAGCCAGAGTCCTTAGATTGACTGCAACCTTCCCCATGACCTATTTCCAGCCTCCTTCTCTGAGCCCTCCTCTTGCCACTGCCCCTTGCACACTCAGCTTCATCCACTCTTGCCTCCTTGCTGTTGGTCAAATATGCCAGATCTGGCTTCAGCCTTAGAGCCTGCACTGACATTTTCCTCTCTGAAATGTTCTTCCTCCTTATACCTTTATGACTCTCACATTCATTTTTCTTTATTCAGAAATTATCTGACGATCACTCTATTTAAAATTACACCCCCCTTTTTTAACACTCCGTATTCTTCTTACCTAGCTTTACTTTTCAACATAGCACTTTCATCTTATGTATTATATCTTATACAATATAATTGACTGTATATTTTGTTTTGGTCTAAATCTTACCATCTAGAATATAAATTCCATGAGGGTGAGATTTTGGTCTTGAGGTTTGTTTTTCTTTTTCCTTTCACTATTTTTAACAGGCCCTGCCTGGCACAGAGTCATCATTATAAGAATTATTTTTTTTAGTTAATGAATACATGAAGCTGTTTTTATTTTAGATCATAAAAATATCAACTAATAGCCAAGTCACATGTTTATAATTTTCATCAGCATGCATACAAGTATATTTGTGTTTGCTATAAAAATGTTTCTCAATGATATGTTCTTTTTTAATTATAGAGGATTTTGATAATTACAAAAAGTTTACTTAGTCTTAATGTTTTGAAAATTCACTGATTTATTTCTTAACCAAGTCTTTTTCAACTTTTCTGTACAGAATGGGTGTTCTCGTGTCAATAGATGTGAAAATGTTGGTCGACGACTTGCAAATCAACAAAGTTTAAAAAATAGGGTTGGATCTGTAAAAACAGGTCTGCTTTTTAGCCCAGATATTGATGAAAGATTAACAAAGAAAGGTAAAGATACATTTACATGGTAATGTTAAGATTTAACTTAAAAAACTGACTTGCTTTAAAATTTTTTCCAGCTTTACTGAGATATGATTGACACATAACCTTTAGTTGCTTTTTTAATGATAAAATGTTAATTTACTGTGTTAGATTTTTAAAATTCATGTTTGAATGATGAAAATATTTAAATTGGCAGTGTATTTTTCTGTGAACAATTGGAGGATACTTGTAAATATGAAAATGTTCAACATTTAAATTTTTTATAATATGAATATTTAATTTTTTAAATTAAACTGAAATTTTTAGGAATTTAAAATTTTTTAATTTACTTTTTAGCAATTAAATGCTTAGTATTTTTATTTACCATGAGTTTGGATAATATTTCAAAACTAGGACAAAATTTAAGTGATTAAAAACCCTGAACTGCTTTATTTTAGGTTCCAAAAAGATTAGTAAATCCGAAGAAAACTTATTAACTCCAGAGCGACTAGATGGAACGAGTTACCGGATGTTATGGACAAGACCTAGTAATTCAGGTTTTCGAGAAATAGATGCAAATGAAGCATCTCCAATAGAGGAAAATCTTGAGGTGAACAACTATTCTTTGGAGCCTGATATTACAGAGGAAAAGTCATCTATTAATTCATATGAACTCTCCCCTTCTAATGTCCACAATAAGCATAATAACATAACCGGAAGATCTCTTAGTGGAGATGAAAATAACTTGAGCACAGAGACTTTAGTGAAAATTCAGAAAGCATTTTCTGAATCTGGAAGTAATCTTCATGCATTGATAAATCACAGGCAGTCATCAATAACTAATGTGGGGAAAGTAACATTACATGAAACACCTAGAGCATATAGCCCAGAGAAAAATCTATTAGAAACTAATGATTTGACTGTGATAGGTTCAAATGAACATCACACTAGTAAAGGTGAAAATAGTTTTTCAGAAAGAGACTTGTCACCATATCAAACTCAAAAATTGGATAGAGAAGCAACTATAAAATGTTACTTAACTCAGATGAAGGTGGAACAGGAACATGAAAAAAGCATTCATTCAGATATATTAAACGATTATTTAAGCAAGCAAGAATTGCCCGGTGATGATCAAATAAAAAAACAGACCCCAAGAGATAAACTAAATACTAAGTTAAAGGAGGAGAATATGATTGAAGAGAACCTACTAAAATGCACAGCTTCTAAAGAGGATGCGGCTAACACCTCTTCCTCAGAGCCTAGTACATGTAATATAACCAACTCATCAAAACCTAGACCCGTGAGAATGGTTAAACAGCAGTCACTGGTGCAAACGTGTGATAAGACGGTTTCTGAAAGATTACAAGTAACAGATCATGGAAAGGTTTCAGACCACATACAGTGGTTTAATAAACTTTCTTTAAATGAACCAAACAGGACAAAAGTTAAGTCACCGCTTAAGTTTCAGCGTACGCCTGTCCATCAGTCTGTCAGAAGAATTAATTCTTTGTTGGAGTATAACAGACAACCTATAAGGCATAAATTGGCACAGCTTGGTGATACTGCTTCTCCTCTGGTTAAATCAGTGAGCTGTGACAGTGCTCTTTCCTCTTGTACAGAAAGTACATCAAAAGATTCCTCAATTTCATGTGCCCAGTCAGGTCCTGAAAAACAGAAATCTACATCATGCGAAGAGTCAAATGTTGATGCAATTTCAAAATCAAGCAAGGAATTAATTGCTAACTCTTTCTCTCAGATGAAGAGGCATCCAGACTCTCTGAATGCTTCTCTTAGGTCTCCCAGAGTTGATAAACAGAAAGTAATATCGGATGACCAAATTAAGGTTCCCTTGGATGATCTGACAAATCATGCTGTATTAAAATCTGTTATAACTAATAATACAGGCTTTTCTCCTGGGATAAATAACAGGGTCCTTAGGAAACCGTCAGAAAGAGAAAGGGCCTGGTATAAAGGTTCTCCCAAAAATCCTATTGGAAAAGCTCAACTACTACCAACAAGTAAACCTGTAGACTTATAATTGGTAAATGTTATACTTGTCATTGATGTAAATAAAATTAGCAATTGGTGATGTGAGTTGCTACATGTTAATCTGTAGCTCAGGATGGTGGTTACATGATTTTACTGCACACGCAAATGGATTCTTACATATAAATGACTACTTTGTTTTTCTTAATTATGGCAATATTTTAAACTTTAATTTTATTATGATCTCTTAAAGCAGAGATTATACTTTAAAAGAAATTTTTGAAAATTGCATGAATTTTATTTCTTAAGTGTGACAGGAAGAGTGAAACGAGTTGTGTCTGTTTCCTGTCATTTTTCCTCCTAAGTCAGATAAATTTCTTACGAGCAATTTCTAATATGTAAAGGCTTCGAAGAGATAAGCCCTGCAAATCTTATTTCTTGAATTAATGTTTATTATCTTTACCAAAATCCCTAGGAATTAACTTGTTTCAATAGCGTCCTAGTCCTTTATTCCTATTTAGGACAAAGTAATTAGGTTTCTATTGCCTACTGATGTGTAGACTGTTCACTTGAATTAAGAATAATGGCTAATGACTCAAGTGCGTTCATATAGTATGATGCTTCAGGAGTAATTGATGACTTTTAAGCCATAATATATTTTTAAAGTAATTTGCACAACTACATTTGTGTCCTTTTTTGTCCAATATAGAATTTAAGATGGAGGAATAATTAAGCTTGAATAATTTAACTAAGGTGATTTCTTACATGCAGATGCTTGATTTTAGAATTTGAAATAGTCATTGCAGCTCCACATTTACTTTGGATTCTTATAAAAGCCTGTGATGGTTTTGTCTTGTATGTAAATGTTATTTATTTAGCATAGACATTAAAGATAACTTTCTGAAAAATGACTTGCCTGAGACTACTGAAATTCAAAGTACCTTTTAGAATTTGACCCAAATTATCAAGCAAATCTATCTGAATTTATATTTTAAATTATTAGAAATTATAAATCTTTGAGGAAGGAATAATAATAGAGGATATCTAAGTTGTAGAGGAAGGAATATGCAGGTAGAATCAACCACCGAAGATAGTTTTGCAGATCAGTTATTAGAATGCCACATTCAAATGTTGAGGCAGAATAAAACAGCATTGCACACCTACTCAGAGCAACCAGACAGTGTGTATATAAGAATTTTAAAGTCATCAGATGTTTGCTTTACCAAGTTCTACTTGATAGTAGTTTATCCGTTTTATTTCAAAACTATTTCCTGTCTATGTTCATTATCTAAGAATCAGCCCTTTCTCAGAGTTAGGAAGTATTTGACTTAAATCAAGACTGGAAAAAATCTGCAGATATAAACCATGTTTAACTGGCATCGAAACAGGTTTGTAATGTAGACAGTATACATTTCAGATGTTTATGGTACTTCTCTGGTAGTAGAGAGAGAAAATATTCATAAACTGATACCTGTTGTCTGGTTCAAGTAAATTTTTTAAATTTTAAAAAATAATGTCTTGATATCTGTAGAGATGGGTGAAATGCTGAATTGAAAGACCAATTAAAAAGCATTGAGAATTAGCTGTGCAGATCACCTGATTTAGTGGGCTTTCTGAAAGATGAATCAATAATAATGCTATTGATTTTAAAAACTACCCATATGTCACTCCCATTTTTTATTTGCTGAAAGTGAATGTGTTGACATGTGCAGTAACTTCAAAGATTATTTTCACTGTTCTTACAAGATCTAATATTAATTTGATTATTATGAGCAACAAGCAATACAATTAAAAAGAAGTTAGTAGGCTGCTTGGCAACAAACAATTGCAAAGAATTTAACATAGGATTTTGATAATCATCAAGCCCAGGATATATATGGTAGATGTTTTAGTTTTGAAATGTCAAATTTCATATGAAGCATACGCATACACATTTTGGGGTATTTCAAGTTTTCATTTACCACAAAAGCAGTTAAATTGTAATGACTTCTCCATTTTTCCAAGCACAAAATGAAGACAACAGTAAATGATGTTAAAGTAAATTGAGTACTGAAAAAAAAACAGTATGCATGAATAATAAATATTAAACCCCAGCTTGGTCTTTAGGCCTAGAACCAACAGATATTTCTAGTATTGATTTGGCACGCACTGAGACAAAAAGCTGGCAATGAAAGTGCATCCATGGAAGAAAAGGCGCTAGGAAGGCTTGGCTTCAAACCAAAAGGCCATGTGTCTTATGATTGAATTTTGTGTGCCCTTCATTGTTTAAAATCGCTGTAGATGATGGATTTGCTGCGTAGAACTAGGGCAAGAGGTCTAGAGTCTAACCTCGGCCAGTTACTCAGTTATTCTCAGACCCTCCCTTCTCCCAAATACTTTAGTAATCCCTGGTTTTAAAAGAAATTTGCAATACTATATAATGTAGTTTTACATTTCAATTTTCGTCTTTGGACAAAATTCAAATGCTCAAGCTTGCTCTATAAAAATTCAACAAAAATTCTGGATCTACGTGGATAAACGACGATGTGCAGGGAGTGTGGTTTCTTTTCAGGCCAAAATGATTTTACTTGATAGTTGGTGTAGAAGTTTAAAAATAACGCTCACAATTAATATTCCCAGGGCTTTTCACGTGTTTTGGGTTTATCGCTTTAACAGAAGTTCCTAGCATTTTGTATTAAATATTCTCATAATCTCCCTGCTCAATGAAAGAACCCTTGGAAGCACCTTTATGACACCCTATCGTCGCCATCATCAAAAGTTTTTAAGACACTCTTAGGTTCTAACGCTTCATCTTTTGTTTCTTCTACGATTGTCCCTTTACCTCTTTCCTCTTCAAACTAAAAGACAAATAAGCTGGAAGGGGGGCAAAGTACAAAGTGGCGATCTGGCACATTGTTAGGTAACTGCTCGAGAAAAGGTGAATTACCTCCACAGGGGTCGACAGATGGAGGATCTCTGGGAGATGTCAGTGGGATGCGTGGGTTGAACGCCGTAGGCGTCACGGCCAAAGGCACCAGCATCTGGGCTGCGTTCTGCGGCCTCCACCTGCTGGAGGAGGGGCCGGGGCGGAGCTAAGATGCGGAGGGAGGTGACGCACCGGCGACACACATCGCCCCGCTCCCCGCCCGACCCCCAGCCAGGCCCAGACCGCAGCAGGCTCCTTCGGCCCTCGGTGAGTGTCCTCTGCTAATGCCGGCTCGACCTCCTGACGCCCAGCGGATACAGCCGATACATGCGGGTTTTTCAAGCTCGGGAGTCCGGGAGGGCATC